AAATTAAATTAAATAAAGTAAAATTAAATTAAATCAATTAAATTAAATTAAATTGAATTAAATTTAACTATAATAATAAACAAAAAATTTATAAAAATATATGTAGGCATATCCAAATAAATATTTAATAAAGTAAGCTAAATTGAAAAAAGCAAACATTAATTAAAATAAAATATTTTTATAAAACAAATATTTTTTAATTAAATTATTTCATTCGTTATTCTTTTACAGAATTGACTGTTATGATTCACTTGTAAAATCTTGTACCACGTCTACAGCCTGAATCAAATATGAAGGCGTTGATCGACATCAGCACGGCATGTTTGCTTGTTTGTAGCATACATTTAGGTGCTATAGCACAAAAACACATACAACATTCCGATAATCCGTCAACTTATAATATTGGGGGAGTACTTACGGATCCGGATAGCGAGGCACACTTTCGAACAACAATAGCGGTAAGATATGACGTTATGTATGTATGTACATGAATATACACACATAAACTAACATTAAACTAAAATATGTATGCGTATTTAACTTGTGATTATTTTTATTTAAATTTTACAAATTTCACAATCTTTACAGCACCTCAATTTTGACCAACAATATGTGCCACGTAAAGTTACCTACTATGACAAGACTATACGCATGGATAAGAATCCAATAAAGACAGTCTTTAACGTTTGCGATAAGCTAATTGAAAAGCGTGTAAGTATATCTAACATTTTATTTTCTTTTATTTTATAAGTACATACATTCTTACTACGATCACAGTTCCGATTCAATACGTTGATCCATTCTATGATCAGTGCCATATGGATGTATAATATCGAATTCGCCTAGAATATTGTAAAAGAAAAATAAAAAATACATTATAATAGTATATATCCCAAAACTGGGACGAAAGAAGAAATCTGTAGTTAAAGCGCCCAACAATATGATAAAAATGCTGATAATGAGAAAGATAGTAGCATTCTCGCCCATTATTCCGGAACCGAATTCCTAAAAAGAGTAGGGTAAATAAAAACAAAATGATTTTTTTTTAACAAGGAGCTGACTTAATTTCTAATATTTTAAATTTATAAAAAATTAAACTATGCGCAAACATAGAATTAAAATACTTATGCAAACTCTTAAAAATATGTAAATATTACTTTACCTTTAGTAGGAAGTTATCCTCTGTCAATGTTTTGTATAGTAGAGTAGAACCAACCGCAAGCAGTGAATCTGGAAAATGGATGCTTTAATTCCAAATCTGCTCGTATCACTCCAGAACCCGATTCCATGTAACTCACTAAATATAGGTCCACCGAAGCATGCAGCTAGCGCCATATTTTGATAGCCTTGACGAGCCAAGTATTGATTGGCAATTAAATCGCCAATGCTATTAGCCCATGTCAGAAGCGTGACGCCAACGAAAGAACTACTCAAGCCAGTAAAGATGCTGAGTACTACGAGCGCATTGAAGGCCTCAGCGCAACAAACGCGTACAACGAATATCGAACCGGCAACGCTCAAAATTGAAAGATACTGAAAAATGTTTTAATTTCAATTTTATAAAATATGCTCAACTGACCACATTTATGCCTACGAATATGTAGATATGTAATATCTGGAGAACTATACATCATTTACCTGATGAAAGAAAGGTATTCGATTTGTAGTAGATCCGACGAACATGCATAAAGCGATCGGGCACGCAGCTAGGCCGACCCATATGAAGAGCGGCATTCCAAACAGAGAGTACATGTTCACTAAAGAATAAATGCATGCGAGTTTAAGTTCGAATTTCATTGTAAAATGGTGATGAAATTTTTTTGCTGTGGGATGACAACAAATCGGACGACTTGAAATTGAACTTTTGGTTGTACTGTGACTACTGGCGAATCTCT